TTCAGGCTCTGTCTCTCTCTTTTCTGGTATTAGTTTACTTTTACATATATCCATATCCACACTGTCCAGTCGCTCCAGAAATGTCGGTTTTCGTTATGACTGTCGTCAGTTAGCAACGATAATCAGAATGAGTTAACGTCACTTCAGATACCCGAGAAATGGCATTAAAATGTGATAGAACACACGTATGCAAATGGCAAAACCGTTTGCGGAATTCATATGGCCAATATGGAGAATGCTGCTTGACAAATAAGATCTGCACAAAAACCAAAAAGTTCAGTAATTTCATTGTGTTTTGTGTGTGTGAAGTCGCCCGTATCGAATTCAACATTTTGCCACAGAATATTATTGCTCAGGAGAAAAGAGATGAATAGTTTGATAAAATTCTGAAATGAAAAACTTAACAAAAAATGTACTTCCAAGGTTGCGACTGAAATCATTGAAACGTAATCATATAGGCATTATGTTTACTTTTATTTAAATGTGAGAAATATTTATCTACCAATGCATAGTTTATAAATATATAAATAATAATAATTTTGCTTCCGTATTAATATTCTTTTCCTATTAATTTAATCCCTAATTTCTTTAGAAATCCATATCCTTACCCTTCAATCGATTTAACTCACAGCTTTCCTTTGATGTCGAATTCTATTTGTGCACGAGCCGTGACCCCAAGCCAAATCCCACTCAAGGGCAAAATTCATTAATAATTCGGCAAAAACGTTAAAGACACAAAGTCAAAGCCTAGCGTCATAAATGAAAGACAAATAAATGGCCCAAAAAGAAGTTGGAAATGAAATGTGAAAGGACATTCCTGCTGGCCCTGTGGCTTTTGTTTCGACCAAAAACTTTTAGCATTGTTTTGGGGAATTCTTTCTGGCTAGCAATATGCAGCAATTATTAAGATTAATACTTCTAATATGATGAGCGTTTGGCCACAAGAGCGTGACCAAGATGTGTGAGGTCGAGCTGATGTGTTTTTAATGAGTTGAAGGAGCCAAAAGTGGAGGGGATGTTAGGTCATAGCAATTAAGCAACATTAATTAATATTAAATATTTCAATGGCAATTAAATGAAATAATTCCTAAATGCCCACCGAACAGCCGCAAAAGCCACAACTAGAAGATGGAAAACTTTTTAGTCCGGAGAGAAAATGAAAATTTCATTAGCCGCAAAAGGCCAAATGGATTTCCTTTCAGCCCCCTTATACATAGACTATCCATCCACCTACTTGCCATTCAAAAAGTTTTCAGCTTATCCCAAAAAGGACACATGTTACAAAATTAGCAAATAAATTTCAAGTAGGACCCAAACTTGCCGCGCGCAATCCAAATGCAAATGAAATGCAACACGATTGTTGATCAGGGATGAGGAAAAACGAGGGGAATTTATTTAACTGAACCGAAATGAAACGAACTCAACTGAACTGAAACCCGTGCTGCATTTCTTATGACCGTGGGCAGGAAAATATTTTCCAAGGCATTTCAATTTGGCCCCCGCAATACGCGTAATTGAAATTTGCATTTGTGTGGAGCGTAGGCGAAAACAAAGCTAGGGAAAAGAAAATCAAATGAAATGGAGGTGGGGGAACGAGATGGTAGCCAAGAAAAGCAGAAACGAATCGAGGGCAAGAAACTCCATCCTGAAGAAAGACCAATTAAGAGCCGCGGCGTGGAATTTTGATTGCGGTTTGCAAATTTCCAACAGGCCAGACTAGGAATTCAGCAAAAGAGGCCTCACAGGCCTCTGCCGTTTCGGCCACGAAACGAAAGGTAATGAAAATTTTTATTTTTTCCCTGTTTTCCTCCTTTACTTGGTCACTTTTCAGCACATTAGAACTGTTGATATTTATTTAAAAGAAAAAAGAAGGAAGTAGCAGGACCTGCCAGCGTTGACATTCAAGTCAATCGAAAAGTTTACACAAAACGCGAGTCTGTGTCCTCGGTCACCTGAGTCAACAGCTCTGCCTGACCCTCTCCGTTGGCAACGAGGCAATGAAATGCCGCCAGTTGCTTTTACCAAGAAATTCCAAAAAAGTTCCATGAACCAGTAAATAAGTAAGGAGAGTAGGTACCAATCACTGGAAAAAGATTTTACGGATTTTGAAAAAGGATTTTGATAACTTTTAGCCTGTTTAGGGAATTGATGAAAAGGTTTTTGAGTTTAAAAACTTGATTCTTGGGCAAAAGTTGTTGTCTTTTTCTAAAGTTCTTGGAAAGTTTTATTATTTTTGAAAGCTTCTATTATATTTACTAGAATATAACCCTAAAAATCATTGCTAATCTGGCATAAGAAAACTCTAAACCCAAATGTACTTCCCTTTTTAAGCACTCATAAACAAATATGAGTTTCGCCATAAAAACCCACACATAAAGTCACAGCCCACTTCGAATTACAAATTCTAATACCAAGAATTTAATCACGTATAACAATTTTTCATGTGCCAAAAAAATGTCTTAAAAACTTTTGAGCCCGCACCCCTCGACCATCGTACCGCAAATTGTTTAAAACAAGCATTGAAAAAAAAAAAACACAAGAAGCAACACAAACAGGCGGCTCAATTCCAGGAATAAAGCCAGAGGACATTTGTGAAAAAGGGCGAGGAGAGGCGAGGGTTTAGACGTCAGTTCGCATTAGGCCCTCAACTATAGCCAAGGCCAAGTTTTGGGCCGAATCTGTGGACCAGTAGCAAAACGACGCTTGCCACCGCATTGACGGCCGAAAGGCAATGGAACCGTAAATTCTATTGCATGACTTGATTAAATTCGCATGCAACGATGACCGTCGACCCAGGAACCCTAAAGCCGCCTGGAACCCTCCGCCCTGGTAACCACCACCATCAGGTCAAACAAAGGCCAGCGACGTTGCCAACTATGGCATAGCTGGAATTTCTTGGCTATTTGCAAGCTGCCTTGGCCCATGGCTTCTGTTTTTGCTTGTGGATTTTGCCTTTCCTTCGACCGTTTCCTCATTTTAACGTTTTAACGTGACTTAATGAAGTTTCAGTGTCACAGCAAAAGCTGCTGCTCCAGCTCCTGCTGCTCCTTGGTCCTCTTCGCCTGTTAATTTTATGATGGATTTTATGCAGAGCGCGCCAAAAAGGAAACTTTGAACTTTAATAAGTATGTGTATGCAAGCATTTAACTTTGCCATCGTTTCGTTCCTAGATTTTTCCTTCTATATAGATTTTTTCATCTATTTTTATATTTTTTTGACCAGAAGAGCCGTGTTAAGCTAGCTGAGCTAGCTGGCTGGCTGGCTGGCTTCTTTTCTATGGGAACTTTGCTAAAATATGCTTCAGAGGGCTTGAAAGCATTTGAAGTAATGAAAAAGAAGTGAAAAAAAATTGCATCCAACAAGTAACCACGCACACACACACACACACACATACTGGAAAAGTGGTTTCGAAGGGGGGTTGGGTGTAACTATACAGCGAAGCTGCGCAAAATTTAACGAAGCTTAACCTCATTCAATGTGAAAATACACTTTACGTGTACTTTGCGCTGTCATTTCGGGCGCAACTCGAGCAGCAATTGTGCAAATACTTTGTGCCGAAAGTGCGGTGACGAGGGGCGTTGGTGGTGATGGTGGTGAAAGGGGGCGTGACTGGGGCAGGTGTATATATAAATATATATTTGTATATATATGTATAGAGGTGGTGAACTTTTCAAACTTAAATGCAGAACAGAATGATGAATGATCCAAAGATGCTCGGTTGCTAGCAGCCCGAAGAACTCACTTTATCTCCGTGTTTCGACGACTTTCTCATTGCTGGTGAGGAAATATTTGATTTCCCGCTTAAGGCAACAACACTGAGAAGAAGTTTTTGTCACAAAAAGATAACCTTTTACAGCATTTTATTATTAGATTTCAAGTTCTTAGGCCACATTTCCATTTATTAAAATAAATTTCGTATAAACGGGATTTATATCCAATCATTGCAGTTTCTATTTTCCTTCTCACCTATTAAACGATATTATAATAACTTTAATAATCTGAAACAACCCCCCGCTTTCGCTAACTGCACATTGAAATCGCGGTAAATCTTATTTTCTCAAAGGTTCTTTAAAATTGAATCACTCTTGCTCCAAAGTCAGCTTCATTGAATGATTGTCTATGTGATGGTGTGGCGGTGTGGAGATGTAGAGAGGCCAGGTAAATTATGCAAGAACATCGATACCAAATGTCGTCAACTGCATCCAATTGAAAACTGAAAGTGCTGCTGCAACCCGAGATCTTAACTGGGTTTCATATGGCCGCGAATCTCCGGCGATTGCACTTGGCAAAGGCCGCACCGCAGGCACATGAAACGCACGTCACCGAGCGTCACCATTTGTGCAATCAAACATCGAAATGGCCGCGACATTGACCGCAAGCTTCCAGAGTGTGAAATCCGATGCGGCTGGGAGCCGAACAATGCACAGTGTTAAAAAATTGAGAGGAAATCTGATGAAAAATTGTCTTAAATTGGAGAAAAACTAGCGGAAAGCTGGGGGAAAACTTAAATATTTTCGAAAACAAGTAATTAGCTTATTTCATTCAAACCATTGAAATTTCTTAAAGATTTTAATAATCTTAACCCTTAACCCACTGTTCGTTAGGTCGTCGTCCATTGCGGCCCAGCAATTGCGGTGGCTGTGGATTTTGTGATTGCGGATTGTGCGGCCAGCGGATCGCTGCCTCACTTGCATCTGAAAGGGACAATCTGGACAACTGTTCCGCCAAGTGAAAGTGAGGGCCTCCACTTACACAATCCCTAGCCGAGAGCCAATGAACTTGAAGTGCCGAAGACTATCCAATTACAAGTAGTGCACTCTATGTGCGCGGGTGTGGGTGTTATAAAAACACCAACGCGATGTCACAAATTTGCATTTCAAAGCGGACCAACACCCACGACAGCTGCATCCAAAAAACACGCACTCCGTTCGAGGATTGGGACACAGGACAGCCAGGACGAACATACAGAGAGATACCCACCCGTTATGAGACCGCCAAAATCCGGCCAAGGCATTGGCCTACAAGCCAACAGTACATTAATGATCTATGCATTAATGTGGCTCTCGTTGGCCATGACAATGGAGGCCATAGATGCCCCATTGCCGCTGTCCCTGGCGGAGTTCCCGATTCTGCCGCTGGAACATGGCGGCAGCAAACACCATTACCAGGAAACTGGTGTGGAATCGTTGCCGGGATTAACAGGATATACGCGAAATTATTATCACCCCTCTGACACTGCAACGGCCGATGACTTGGCAACATATGGAAATTATGCTCACAACCTCCTGGCCACCCACCACAATCCACATCCACATCCACTACATTCTCATGCCAGTGTCTCCTCCCTTGGCACCACGGCCAATGGCTTTGTGCCCTTCTACTACAACAGCAAACTGCACTCGCAATTCAGCGAGGATGAGGAGCCGCGTCGCGACCCATCGGCCAATATCGATTTTGTCATTAATACGGCAAATTATGAGCCAAATTCCGCTGGCTATGAGGAGGAGCTACATCACAGGGAGCCCTTCGACAGCTATGCATATCGGCCCCGGGTGCAGTTTCCCACGTCGCCACCCAGTCATTACCATTTCGAACAAATTTCCAATTATCGGGAGAACCGGCAGCACCAGCAGCAACACCATCAGGAGGAGCAGGAGCATGAGGATAATTCCAGTGTCTATGGACGGCTCAAAGAGCTGCAAACATTGGCTAAACCAGTGAAGCGTCAGCAGGAGGACTCCCTATCGAATCACCAACAACAAAATCAGGATCTGCCAGGAAGACACCAGCTACTAGAACAGCGACAACATCAGCAAATCGAAGGAAGACAACTGCAACACCAACAGCAACATTTCCAGCAGCATTTGCAACAGAAGCATTTACATCCTCAGGATCAGCGGCAACAACAGCGCTTGGGTGTTTCCCAGGATCAGCAGCTTTTGTACTCCCACAAGGATACCCAAATTGCAGATCTGCCGGCCATAACCACCAGTGTTCGCCATACCCCAGAGAGTAGTAAAGCTGTAGCTGGAGTGCCTCTATCCAAGCACATCGAGATCACCAAGAATGTTCCCGTCACCCACTACCAGAAGCAACATGTTCCCTATAAGCAAACTGTCCAGATGCAAGTTCCTCGCACTGTGATCGCTGCCATACCCAAACCCATGCCCATCAAAATCCCAGTGGCCAAAACAGTGGCAGTTCCTCAACTGCAGGAGGTTAAGATCCCAATAGAGCGGGTGAAACCTGTGCCCGTAGAGCGACCCATTCCGTTTGTGGTGGAACGAAGGGTACCATACAGAGTGGAGAAGCCAGTGGTCTCGCCAGTTTATTATCCGTATCCGGTTAAAGTGCCAGTGGTGCGCACGGTGGTGCACAAGCAGCGACCCCAATATGTGGCACCCGGTTGGAGTGCCACCGGCAATCATCTGCTGGGCTAGGGGTACATAAGCTCCCCCTCTCTCTTTTAAAATTCTAATATGTATGCATATAATGTTAAGTCTTAAATAATAAATTGTTAATCTGGTTTTCAAGCGAGCCTTAAGTCCTTTTTGTATACCCTTTCAAGGAGTTTTGAGATATTTTATGGAAGTACAAAGAATAAAGTAAATAATTGTAAACCATTTTTAAGCCCTTAAGACAACCTGATTTTGTTAGAATCTTTTAAAGTCTAAATCAAAGTATCAATACTTTAACATCATAACGTTGTATTAACAATTCTTACATCTTCTCAAAGAACTATCTTTAAAGTTAAAATTTATAATAGAACATTGACATTTTCCCTTGGCTGTTAGGGAATTTCACGGTTAGCTTAACCCTTTACTCATAGCTGTTGACCCCGGGACAGTCAGGCCAAAGTAATTGCAATTAGTGCTTCTGAAACAAAGAAAAAAAGGTCAGACAGAACCTGCAGAGTAACTCTAAAGCTTCCAGCAACCAGCAACCAGCTCAACCAGATCCCAGCTACCAGTTACCAGGACCCGGCAAAACAAAACAAGACATTCCGAGTCGAAGTTGAAGTCAGAGTCAGAAGGCAGGTCCCAAATGAAGAAAAGTAGCCGAGTAAAACTTTTTAATTGAGCTAAAATCCAACAAATGCGGCTAATAAATATGTATTGAAGTGCGATGGTGGCCAAAAGGAGCAAAGGAACTGTGACTGCTGCAATGCAAAAGTAGCGAAAGTGCAAGAAAATGCAGCGGCTAATTGCCAAATGTAACTCCGGCAGCAACAACTTTTAACAGCAGGAGCGAGCAGCACAAGGACCAAGGACAAGGAGCAGGGCAAAGCAGCAGAAGCGGCAGCTGAAGGAGCAACAATGACGCACAAATAAACGCGACGTTCAACTTCAGCGAGGCGTTAACGAAACAGCAACAAAATTAGCCAAAAAGTAAAGTTCGGCGACCAACCAACGAAGAAAGTGGCAAGGGTCGCGGGTTCCCAAGAAGTTTCGGGGGCCAGTCAGTAGTTTTCTACTGGAAAAGTGGAAAGTGCTGCAAGTTATTGCCGGCTAATGAAATTAACTCTAATTGACGTGGGAGCCATTCGACTCAATTTTTGAAGGCGAAATGAGAAACAAGTTTACACCACATGAAATGTAATATTTGAAAAATTGAAGTAGAATTTAAGGAGAAATGATGGATGGCTTTACATACCTTAATTGAAGATTTAAATTATTGATTTATGAATGATTACACTGAAGGGAAAATACTATTATAATATATATACTGTAAATAAAGAATTTTGGGAAAAGAAACTTAAATAACGACATTCAAACGAAATCATTCTTAATATACAAATTCTTCAATTTAAATAGTATTTCTCCTGACTATGAATGTCTTTTTTATCTACAAAATATCCCCTTTTTCTAACAGTGCCACCGATTTGTTCAATTTAATTCGCTGCCGGCCACATTATTAGCATTTATATGCCACGTACCTATGCACAAGGAAACCGCAAAGCGACGGAAACCAACTAAAAATCAAATATAATAAGCATCCGTGGAAATCAACGCTTGTCTGCAAATCGTACATCCACTATGTACATACGAATATCTGTCTGTATGTAAATATCAAATGGCATTTGCAGCGGGATAAATGCGCATAAATTCATAATTGCAATGCCCACATTAACCGCTTCGTTAGGAATTTTGCTCATCTAACCACTGGCCACCACAGCCGGCGGCAATGGGTCTTCTGGCCAACAGAGACCAGTCGAACCCAAAATCCGAAAACTGGCCCACTTGCCAGGCCAATGACAAAAGCCACAAAACGCAATGAACATGGCGCTCCGGTTAGATAGTTGACCGCGAATCTGCTGATGAGACTCCCGCCTGTGACTGTGCCATTTGTGCCCTTTAACCCATCAACCCTTTAACACTGCCACTGACACTGACCCCTGCCGTTGGTTATATTCACGCCAGATCATGAAATTGGATGTGATTCTTTGACAAGCGTTTGGTATTGTAATAAGCTCAAATAAAACTGAATAATTTAATCAGAAAATAACGTTTTTATTTATTATTCTAACCAGGCCTAAAGTCAAGCCAAGATATATCGATATGTTCGAAAGATAAAATCACCCAAAATTCATTTTATTAAGAAAAGTATTTTGAATTTCATATCCTTGAATGAGTTGTTCACAAACTTAGCAACGTTTCAACAATCTTTTCATTTTTAAGAACAGAAAAACAAATCTGTTTAATCTCAACATTATCTTCTAACCTTCTTCCCTAAAAATATAGTAAATAACAAATTGATTAGATTGAATTGAGTGCACTTTCTAAAAGTGACCACAAAAATCGAAAGTGCTTAAATCAGCGTCTGACTTTTGGTTTATATTTTTCTGCTCCTTTTGAGTCCCTCGAAAAGGGCAACAAAATGACTTTATAATTTCGGAAATGACTGCGCACTTTCGAGGAGCAGGTAACCTAGCAAAAAGGGGGTTAAGAGCAGCACGGCGACAAAGATAAACATTAAAAATTAATCAGCACTTTTGGCTCAAAGTTTGATAATTGCCGGGCGGCCAAATGAAGCCAAAAGCGTAAACAGCTACAAAAACGCTGGGCAGGATTTAATGGTCAGAAAAGCGAGGGTGCCAGACGGAGTCCTCTTTGAAAAATGACAGGCAACGGCCATCAGTTAGCGCGGCAAAAGCAGCACCAAAGTTTTCAACCCTTTTTCGAGAACCCCTTTTGGCCAAATATTCGGTGATGGTTTTGTTTTTTTTTTGGGAATGAAAATTGATGTGCATCATAAAAATTTGCGACTCAGGTGGCAAGTTGTTATTTTTGATGTCCAATGGTTGGACTTTGAAGCGCCTTTCTAGATCATTTTAATTGACAAATGGCAAAGTTGCGCGGTAGAAAAGTAAAAAGACAAAGATGAGTTTAAAACTCAGTAAAGGACAACCGGGCGTATGAGTGATATTTCATGTTTGCCGTTTAATAGACGCCCGGCACCTTATTCTTACGCTCCATTGGTCGTAAAGCAAGAATGCTTGGGTATATCTTTTATGATTACCATAAACTATTTACACAGAACTTTAATAATCTGGTGCGTGCAGCAGCAAAATGTTTGCAAGTATTTTATACGCCAAAGGATTTATGTCGAGTCACAACATCCTGCAGGATCGTCTCGTGTTCTGTGAGTTTTGCGAGCGTGTGTATACGATGTGTACAGTATAGTATATGTGTGTTGGTTGTTTGTTTATTTTGCTTGCCGGCTTTTCAGTGTCTGGGTGCTGTTGACGCTTTTTACTCACTCCCACACCCATTCTCACTACCTCACACACCCTCACTCCTGCCTACCCAAAAAGTTTGCCAACACAAACAGCTACTCAGGCGTATAATTGCCATTAAAGTGCGCTTAAAATGAGCTGAGAGACCCTCGAAACGAGCTTGGTTTTATCGAGCTCAATACGTGGCAATGGAGTGCCGAGATGGCCCGGCCTTTATGCATAAGTACGAGTATCAATATTTCACAACTTGGCCCTTCAGGGGGGAACTGGCAATTAAGTGCTGCAACTTTCGGTCGTTGGAATTTTTCATGCCACATTATTCCTGGAGCGCTCAAAAGGCTCCATCTGGCTAGAAAATTATAACCAAAAGGGGTTCTTCGACCAGCTTGTGTCCGAGCCGAGAGATCTGAGATGTCCCTAATTGAAGCTCACTGACGTGTACTCGAATATCAGATTGCAATCTATTTTGCTTCAGCTGAATGGCTTCTTAGTTGCCTTTTTGAGCAGGCAAAATATGTGGGAGAGTAACGAGAAGGGAGGGGACTCACTTTGATTGACAGCTTATGCTGGAAAATGCAGAGATATGATTACCTTTAGCTTGCCTAGAGAATTGTCATCTCGGTGTCAGAGGAGACAATGCAGCAAAAGCAAATGCTGTAGGAAAAGCTAAAGCTCCAGTTCCATCTCCAACTCCATCTCCAGCTGCAGTTGACAGCAGTCAGTTGAGAAATGAAACTAAATGGCTGAAAAGCAAACATTTCCAACACCGGATCATATTTCAAATTCAAACTGTGACCAGTCAGATGAGATGAGTTTAGTTTCCAAAGCACATAATGAGCAAAAATGTTTTGAAAATCAACTGCAGAAAAAAAAGTCAACCTTCCCACACCGTAAACAGAAATGCATAGCCGTTGACATGCTGACAGCACATTATTTACCTCCCAGCCAGGCCATAGAAAATTATGAACTCCGGCAATATTGCAGAGCAATGAGTGAGCTGAAACCATGCGCAGCAATATACCATACATATATAAATTCTGCTCATATATCCGTTTTTAATAAATTAGTTTGCAATTTGCCACGCCTGACTGGGTCGAAACAGCAACCAACAACAGGGGCAAAAGTTGCAGCTGTACAAGAACTGAAGTGGCAAGGACCCAAGAACCGAAGAACCTTCTTGGGAGCAACATTCACCTTTGAGCCGCACGCAGACGTTCGTTTCGAGTGCCATAAAAGCCAACTGCACACGGCAGGAACTACATAATGTCGGCATGTATCATATAGCTGCGATGCACTTCCGTTGCGCAACGCCCTCTACAGGCGTCCCGGCGAAACCAATGTCTGTCTGAGCTAACGAATTTTATTTGCTCCTTTGCAGGATTCCAGCGATTCTCAGTCTGTATCTTAGTTATGCAATTGTAAAAATAAAAGGGAACTTAATGCTGATAGGGTAGGTAGAAATTTTATACCTAAAAGCAACGCTAGAAGCGGTACTCAATATGGTAGCTTATTCTGTTGGTCAGTTAATGTCTTTAAATTAATATACTAATTAATCACCAAGATATGTATGTTTCGCAAAAGAAAATAGCGGAAAACTTCTTTCAAATATATTGAATTTTAGGTGTGGGATAAAAGCGATATAAAACATTCAGAGCTTCACTTACCTTGCTGTTGCTCCATATCGTTTTGTTTTTATATATTGAA